GATACAGTATAAAGGCAGTTCAGAAGAAGGGTGATCATTAACCATTTTCCTGCTTTGTCCTTTAGTCGTCTGAATACACTGAGTTGGCTTTTTAATGAGATTTCTGTTTTGGCGAGATTTATAGGAAATGCGTGGAATATGTGTCACTGTATATTGTTACTCTAATGTCATTAAAGCCCATACAAGTCAACAAACCATTTGGGACACTTAAAAATACCTGTCAATCAATCAGCACTGTTACATGCATACATTTGCATTCTGTATATGTCACTTGCTTGCCTAAAGTTATTTTTACATAGTTACATAAGTTTATCCAGCACATTCTGTTTATCGTCCGTACTGTAAAGTTAGAGTTTCCCTTAGTTGAATTGACTGATGGGTCACACTACTTTAAGAAGCACTAAATGATCTAATCTATAATCTATATATTTTGGCTCTTACTTGAACATTTGTCCTTTTTTAGAGGTTGTTTGTTTTTGTTTTGTTTTTCTAGTTTAGATTAATGAGCGAGGCATGAATGGCGTGACAGCAGTGGCCTTTAGACTGCCTCGATGTGTTCGTCACTGGAGGATAATGTGACACGAATGAATCAAACCTTCCGTGTCAGTTAAGGTCCTGGCCCTTAATTTATCAATTGACAGGACCTCCTCCCAGTATTAAAAGAACAGGCTCCCTACATGAGTTTTATTGATCAAATGTCAGCTGTATGGCCTGTATATGTCACTCTAAAAGGCACAGATGGAGCATTGGGACTTACAGGAACTTGCTTTATGTTGTAGTGCAACATAGCACTTGAACCATAAAATGCTATGAAGAGAACTCACAACTGTTTGTCCTCTCTGTGACATAAATGTTAAGGTCAGCAGTTTGTTTCTTTTTACATGCAAAAGCTGCCAAAGATGCATGTACTTATACTGTTTTGCTGCCACTTAGTGGACAATATAAATACTGCACTAAACAATGAAACTAATGGTCCCTGTCGAGAAACTGGGCCAATGCAGAAACAAATACATATTTAGAGGTTTACATTAACATAAACAGCTATCAAAAAATATGAAAAATATACACCATAGCAGTTTTAAATATACATAAGATAAAAGTAGTGAGTCTTCTACAATTTGTAGCATTAGAATATGTAATATAAATCTGATGATAGGAAAAGGAGAACATAAGTTCGTGGATATGTAGAATGTGCAGGAAACAACACAAACCCAAAAAATGTGAACTATCAATAACAACATGCACAGAATGCCCCAGTTTCGCCACAACTTAATGTATGACCAACAATATAGAATAGGATAGAATAGAAATATTATTCATAATATTATTTCAACCATCACAAAAGGGCTGAATATCCTGTACCTGAATGTCTTCTACTCCCAGCATTGCTAATTGAGTGTCAGAACTTGGGATTGGTGTGGGTAGGATTTGATCAGGTCTACTACACTTCATCAATACTCTTAATCTGTCCGACAGGGTCTTAGCCATGCTTTTTCATTACAAACAATAATTATAAAAAAATATGGATGGGAGACAAATCTGAAAAATATTGCTTTTTTAAAAAAGTTTATGCTCGTTCAACCAGCTCTCATATGCGAGCAAAATTCTCACTGTAGATCCCAGAATCATGACGTCATGCTGCATATAACAGGCCTGTATGGTCGAATATACGTTACCCTGCCTGTAAGAAAGTCAATAAAGGCCTTATGAAAGCAGAATAGTTGCTAACCTTTTGAAGCATTTGTAGCTGAAGCTCGGTCGAGTTTGAGAATATAACCATGTTTTGGTCTTCACCTAGAGCCACCTCTGCGCGGCTAAACTTGCCTGATTCCCCGCTCTCATTATACATCAGCCGCTGTTTACAAGCTTCCTGCGGCGATGGCTTAAGTAGCCTACATTTGTATTTGCCTTCGCACACAGTTAGTTCAAAAGACAGTGGGGGCAACTTACCCGTCTGTGGCTCGCCAGTCTCTGTCTGAGTCACATACACCCACAGACTAACAGCATTCCTTTTAATGAAGTGCTGTATATGGCATCAAATTGATGAACAGTAAAAAAAAAAAAAAAAAAAAAAAGGGGGAAAAAGGTTACCTCGGGGGGAAGGAAAAAAAAAAGTATGAAGCCCACCACTTAGGATAATGGACAGCCATCTCAAGCGTGGAGATCATCTGTGGGCAGCAGTGCACCCACATACTTGAAATGTACAAGCATCTACATGTTCAAGTAGTTGTTTACACGATGTTGGACATCGGACCTTGAAATGACCGGGCCTGATTGTTATTGAAGATCTAAGTGTGACAAATGTTCTCTGTGCTCTTTGATTCAACTTCATTTCAATTATAAAACACTTGTGCTGCCATTGCAATTTCTTTCTCGAACCCCATATACGTAGTTAATCAGATTGTTTTTAGATTGTTTTCCTCAAGTGGTGTGGAATAAGCCTCAATATGTGTGGAGATGATTTACCCAAGAGACATTTGATTATTCCACCCTATTCTCTGGAGTGTCTAATTTAATGAAAAGTCATTACAGCTCCAACATAATTAGGCTACCCTTTGAAAAGCCATGCTCGGCTGATTTGGACCAATTCTCAAACTGGGGCTGCAGCTTAAGGGTTCGTGCTAAGTGGCTATGCTTTTGACACTTTCTCACACTGCCACTTATGTGTACTATAACTTAATTTAACTCTGACCTTGAACCGGGATCTCCTCCCGTATAAGTATGTTAACATACATGTACATGGATATTGACATTTATATCATCTGTTGCTCTGCTGGTGGTTAACTGATAACCTAACCTGCATTAACTGTCCAACATGGTAATGGGACAAGTCTGCAACGTAACTATGTTTAAATTGATGATGTATCAACATTAGCTTTATAAACGATAGCATCACAGATATCTTCTGAACTCAGTTTTCAGTATGGATGAATACGAGTCTAGAAAACATGCATTTAAAATGTATTCAGGCAGTTATATAAGTTGGATAAACAAGTAAATTATAGGGAGATGAAGTAACTCCTGAACTTTGAGTTAGAAATTTTCAGATCCTACATATCAGGATTTTTTAACTTTGATATTTTCAGAATAGCCAACATATTTTTCAGCATTAAAATCCTAATTAAAGACAAAAAGCAATGCAATGAGTCGCATATTTATCTGATCAGGGAAAGGTTTATGTGTATGAACCTGAATAAAGATGATTCCCCTTTTTTCCCTTAAAAAATAAATCTGTATTGAGCCTTGGCTGACCTTAATAATAGAAGAGAAATTGTTGGCTGGTGTGAAGACAAATGTCACAAAGTAGGACAGCTAGCATAAACTAAACCGTCTGTGCTTGCTGAGATCAAAAATCATGTAGTTTGAATCATTTACCAAACCCAGGTAACTGTTGCAGCGAGAAAGCAGAAGTGTGTAGGTAAAGGAAGAGACACAACACTGTTTGTTCACTAACATTGTTCACTTGTTCAATGCCTCAGTAAGGGTTCTTTTTCAAGGAGGTGGTTAGCATTATAATGCAGGTGTCATGCTGGTGTGAGAATCCAATTACAAAAGAAATAGGGTGAACATTGGTGATTCAAAGGTTCTTGACCTTCAGAGTGTCCGCGGCTTCTTCTTCTTTGTGCGAGTGAGTGTGTATGTGTGTTTGTTTATACAGTGTGTGTGGGTGTTCAGTTTCCACAGCAGTAAGCAGCAGCTGTAAGTGAGTTAGAGCATCAATGCTGGTAAAACTTTGTCATTTCAGTGTAATCTTACCATCTCTCTGACATCTGTAGGAGGCCTCAGTGCAACATGGCCAACAGGAAGCAAGTTAATAGAGTGGGTGCAAATTGGTACTTGATTGCAGTGGTTGGCCGTTCTGTTTCTGAATTGGACTGCCGTCACGCAGTTCATGAAATGAATGAATTGCACGTGGGCGGCACAGGGAGCGGAAGTATTTTTCACTCTATTTTTTCTCTTCTCTATTTTTTGATGTGTCAAATCAGGCAACCATCTCTGTCGTATTTTTTCAGCCGTTGTGAGCAAAGGATGGAAAGGGGAAAAGATGTCGGTCTGAAAACCATTCTGACCTCTCGACCTTTTCTGTAATCCTGAGGATGTTCCAGAAAGTTGGTCAGTGTCGACCAAACAAGCAGCCGTAGGATCAGCTCTGAAGAGGCAATCACCTTTTTTTTTTCCTCATGAGGTTTATGTTGGGAATGCGAAAGGACCTTCTTATAGAGGCAGGAGAGTGTGTGTGCGGTTACGAGTACTGAATCAGTGCTGCATCAATATCCATTCATTCTATTACTTGAAATATAATGTTGCTTGATTTTTCTGAAAGGTGGGGTAGTCAGTGACTGACAGTAAATGTAAATTTTACATTGTAAATCGGGACATTAACAGAAAGCCTGTAAGATAATGGTGATGTAATTTCAGTTATCTCCTGGCGATTTGCAGGCATGTTTCCATTGCAGTGGATGGATCTAATAAAGTTAATGTTATCACAGGAACGTCCCTCTTCCCTCATTAATCTGTTGATAAAATGGCTTGTCAGCATTAGCAGGTAGAACAGACACTCACTGAAAACCTCCCACTAGTGATTATATGTAATTTAAATATTTACACCAGCCACTGCCAGTCTGACTCTTCTCTCAGCTCTTTCTCAGTGTCGCGGACACAGCATGGTCTTCTGCTCCCGTCCCCAGCAGGATATGTAGTTAAAAGGCAGCTAGTAAGGAATAATGGTTTTGTACAGCATGAGCTCTCTCCCTTCCTCCAATCTCTCCCTCCCCGTGTGAGGTGAGATCTGTTGAAAAGCGCGCAAGTACCACTCTCCCCAGCATGCTACTGGCTCCTTCTCCAAGCGCTCAATTAATCTAGGTGCTCAACTGGTACAAAGTAGCTTTTGCGGAGCAGAGATCAGCTAGCAGGCTCTCGCTTCAGACCGGGGGAAACAGGGGAAAGGGAGGGGGCTGCGGAGGGGGCTGCGGAGGGGGCTGCGGAGGGTGCGCGTCAAAATTCAAAACTCAACAGAGGCACGCATGTTTTACTCCCACTCCTATTGCTCGTCGTGCTGCCCACCTAGCCAGGGTGAATATAAAGGAGAAGTTTAGACCGGAGACTTGATTCTTCATGCAAAGCTCCCGGCATCTCTTTGTTTTTGTTTTTTTCTCCATTTTCACTCTCGAGCCATCCCAGCGTGGGAGTGAAAGTGTGTGAAATCTGACAGGACTTTCAGATCACTAAGCAGGAAAGTCTGGATCATGGGGGCTTTAATGGTCATCTTCTCTCTTCAGCCAAAACAAAGACGCAAGACAACAGGTAGGCACGACAGGGGAGGGGAGGGGAGAGTTTAATTTGATACGTAATTAACAAATCAGCAGCTAAACTAATTACCTAAGATGAAAGGGAATTGCCTGTTTTAAAGACTTTTCTTTATGTTGTATTTCTGCTGGTGGTGAATTATTGTTAAAATACTTGAACAGATAAATTGTTCATTTTATGTTTGAGAGTCTCCAGCATCGTTCTCTGTATGTATTTTGGACCACCCGGAGATTCCCCCATTAATCTGCTGTTTCTTCTATAATCCCATCTGAATTCACGTTGCCACACAGCAGTCCCATGAAATTGACCCGAAATCAGCCACCTCTTGGTGAGCATTTCAGTATGAACTCCACGCACTTGCTTGACTTTTTCCATTTGCTTTTCCCAATATTGATTTTTACAGTGGCAGCGCGCACACACACACAGCATGCCACATCGACTCCCTGCCAACGCGGTCGCACAAGCTTATGTTACATCTCTGTCTCCCTGCAATAATGTGTTGATCAGCATCTCCGTCACAGCTTGTCACTGTAACAAAAGACGAGGAAGTCCAGTCTTTATTAAAGAACAATGAAATGTTTAGTGGGTGGCCAGCAGACAATAACTGTCAGAGGTTATATTTAGTGGTGTAGTGGGAGAGAGGCGGAATGAATGACACTTTAAGTACAGTAAGTCATATTTCACTCAGGTATTTTGAGAGAGCTTGAAAGCAAAATGAATGAGGGAGTCTTTGTAACTCTCTCAAGCAATAGATCATAGAGCAGACAGTTGTGTGCACTGTAAGCACATTTCACAGGGACCTAGAAAGGAGAACATGGGATCCAGATACACAACAGTCTCACAACGGATTGTATACATGCACCACATTGCTGTGTTTAATTGGAAATAGTCTTAACATGTATTGTTTGAAGCTAATATCAAGTGAATAAGGGGAGATGTTGAAATGGATTGTTTGAGAAAAAAAATGACACAAAATCCTTGTCCTCTCAGTAACAGTTGCTATGCCTGTCTGGCTTTCCATTCTCGCATGGCAAATATGCAGTTTACAGTGATATTGGTGGGAGATTTATCACTTACAATTCTTTATAATTCTTGAAACAATTGCTCCTCGATTTAAGATGGAGATGGATTAAAGCAGGTTTCTCATGCTGAAAGCTGAAATGGCAACTGCTAGTTAGCCAATTAAGCTAATATTAGCTCCATGAGTTGTTTGCAAAACTCTGCCGAGTGACCTTTTTAAACGTTCATGAGGGAGTAGGAGCAGATAGTAGCAGGTTTTGTGTTAACATTTCTTCCACATATTTTGTCAAATCATGTAATATACTGATTCACACTGTGGAAGGTTCTTTGTATGAGGACAAAATAATAAAATATGCACTGTCTAAGAGACCTTAGTGCTACTCCACTACCCACTCTAATGCTTTCCATTAATTTCCATAGCTGCACTCATAGACATGACAAGAGGTGATGGTCCAGTAAGCACTCATCGGAACTTTGCCCTCCAACTGCTTTCCAAACTCACCCAGTTCGGCTTTGAGTGGTCCCACAGTGTTTCGCAAATGTCTCATGGATAAGAGATGTGCCAGTATCGTTATAGTGGTACTTGCTGATGTGTTTGGCCTTGTGTTATCTGTCATCATTATTTTAAATGTCTTACCTATCTGTGTTGTCGGGAGCTGTTTTGAGTAGAGTTTGTGTAGGAGTGCGGTAGGTACACGTAGAAGTAGAGCTGCTCAAATAGTAACAGCAAAACATTGACTGTAACTCAGGCTACCGATTGGTAAATTAATGTTGTTCCTGAGTTGATGCCTTTCAGTCACTGAAAAGAGAACAAAACCCTGTTGAAATTTGTTCCACAAAGTCTGAATTAGTTATCTGATTTTTGCATAAAAGCACTATTGGTTCATTGTCACCAAGCTGGAATAATAACTAATGTTAACTAAGTTGATGTCTAAGCTTTTTCCTTTCCTTGTGACATTAACACACGTACAGTTCTTGTTGCTGGCCCTGTCTCCTTCCAGGCCTTCTGGTGTTTACAGAACTGAGTGGAGACTTCGGCCGACCACAGGGAGAGCAGCTGTCATTTTTGGGGGTAGCCATACCACCAGTCACCATGCTTGCTTATGGCCAAATCTGATCAAATGAAAAACAGGACATGCACTGTTGAAAATGTGGAGCTGATGGCCATACCCATACTTGGTATAAAATAAACAAGCTCTGAGCTTCTGATTCACTGGCTGATCATAACAGAGCTCAAGTAGACTTTCTCTGTAGGCTCCAGCATCGCTCTGAAAACAGGTTTAATTGAACTGTGAACAGCATCTTTCAGTCAAAATCCTTGATTAATGTTTGTCCTCTTTGGTCTCAAAAAACTGAGTAACTGACTAAGAGACTTTCCACTGTGTGAACTATATTCATAGAAAGTCTCTTAGTCAAAAGAAATACTGTTATAAAAAAAAAAAAAAAGCACTCTGAATTGATCTCATTAAATGTTTCCAACCCATCTGTCACATGAAGCGTTTCTCACAGAAGTACTCATGTTGTTCAGAAGTGTTGGGTGGGCATCACAATGCGACAGAGATTTGAGAGAACACTTAGTAAGCACATGCATCTTAAGCACTCTGTTCATCTCTTCATAGGTACAAGTCTATTTATCCATATCACAGTATTAACTGCCAGCCAAAGTCCTTTAAGGACTCTGGTAAATGCCCAGTGGTCATTAATATAGGGTAGATGATGTGAAGAACTTAATTGTCTTTTATGCATTACTCTGAACTGTCCTAGACTGCAGAGCAGCACTAAGTGGAAGACCGGTCTTCTACTTTCCAGCATGTCCCTGATATGAGGCTTACCTTGCATTTTAAAAAGGCATATGGATATCTATAGTCTCCCACTGGAAAATTGTCTGAAAGTGAAATGGAGTTCTTCTCCCAACAGATTGAAAATGTCATTGATTTTTCATTAAGCTACATGGCATGTAAAAGACTTTAGCTATGCCCATTCTGTAATATGCAAATGCACAAAGGCTACACTTACATGAGGAAACGAGGAAGGGGTCACCTATCCAGCGTTCACTTCCCTCTTGGTTTCTTTTTTTTTTCTTTTGTTATCAGCAACATGTAATCTCAGCCCCGTTCAAAGTCACTGTGTCATTATACAGTATTGGTTTTTCAGTTCTTTAAATTAGCATTTAAATTGAAAAGCGAAGCCACGTTGGCTGGCTTTTGGGCTTGTTTTGGGTTTCCCATTGTGCCGCAGTTTGCTCTGTGAAATGAATCACTCCATTCCCAAAAGGCACGGTGACCAGTATTAAGAGAGCTCACTTAGATCTGGATTAATGACCAGTATCCCGCTCAGGGAAGCTCTGCAGGTGCAGAAAAGCGGGCTTTGCCATGTACAGGCAGTGATCTGGTTCACAGTGGATCATTGCAGCATCCTCAGAGCAGCTGAAGATGCTTACTGACACCCCAGGGTGCAGTTCTGGTTTGCTTTAACACCTCATTCCCCACCATACCGTAGACAGTTTGGGTCCATAATAATTCTCTGTAATACTGTTGTTTGAATGGCAGTGTGTTTGCAGACCAAGTGAGGACATTCATGTGATTCCTACTCAATGTTTTTGTCACAGACCTTTTTCAAATTCAGAAAAAAGAAGAAAACAACACATCCTCACATGAAAGGCACAGGCCAGATCACCCAATAAAAAGGGGAAAGCAAATCTCGAACACTTGAGAGACTCAAGTCAGAATGTCCATTTTATATCCTCATAAAAGAATATCCTTATCCTCATATCAAACTGGGAATAACCCTGAAGGAAAACGAGCCATACATCAATTGATAAAGACAGTACGTATGAAAACAGTATGATATTACAAAACATATTGACCATATTCTAATGTACTGATTATGAAAACAAATGTAAAAGCTGTTTCAGGTTTAGCATATCCAGTAACCTGCTCTCGAAAAGCAATTTTGACCCATTTATCAGTTCGTGGCTCTATTCCCCTCGGTTCAGAGGTTTGGTTTGTTCATTCTTGCTGTTACCACTTGATGGCAGCAAAATCAAACAAACAGGCTTCTTGTGGTGAGAAGGAAATTAAACCAACGGTTGTGTGCTTTGATGGATTTTTTTTTTTTTTGTCTACGATTGCTGAGAGTTGTAGTTTTTGTTGCAATAGTTTATTGCAAATTGTAATATGTACAGGCCTCCATGTTTCAGTCTACAGCATTATTATCATGCACTGTTGGAATCAGGGTTATACATTTGGGTCTTGTCATTGAAAACCTCTTCAGTGTGGTCAGAATGTCAAAAGATAAAAACAATTCTTCTGAGGCATCTAATTGTGTTTGGTCATTGAACAGTGATGAAAACCTGTTGAACATGAACAAACAGAAGACAACTCAGGTCAGGATTCAAATAATCTCAAAACATACAGCTCTGATAGATTATTTATGCCTTATATTTATTTAAGACCTCACTTTTCATGTAGGACCTTTTTTGCGTAGCAAGGCCCTGAATGCCCTTTAATATTGGTCTCTATAAAACAAAGAGAGACTGTTTGATTCGATTACATGTGAGCACTTTATATTAGGTTATGTTCTCTTTCCTAGAAAATGTCTTACACAACAGATTTGACTGCAAACTCATTGTACTGTGATCCATTACCGGCAATTTAACAAGAGCCAAATCACATTTATTTGCAATTAACCATATTGTTTGAAGGTTACAGGCCACTGGGGCCTTCTTGTGTAATTTCTCCAAACAAATGGAGGACATTAATTTGTTCTAACACCGCGCTGCAGCTCTGTGCTTTGTCTGGAGATGGGAATTCAATTGTAACTTCATTTAACATAAGCAAACAGTTTCTTCCTTCTGCTGTGTTTATTTGTTTATGTTAAGAGGAGGTTTTACTGTACCTGCAGCTCCACTAATCACAGTTGTAGTCACTTCAATTTAAATAGGCCTGTATATAAAGAGAAGAAGAATGCTGTTGGCT